TATTTCTTTGTACTAAGTGTCATTTGTATTATTTCTTTGCACTAAGTGTGTCATTTATATTATTTCTTTGTACTAAGTGTCATTTATATTATTTCTTTGTACTAAGTGTGTCATTTATATTATTTCTTTGTACTAAGTGTCATTTATATTATTTCTTTGTACTAAGTGTGTCATTTGTATTATTTCTTTGTACTAAGTGTCATTTATATTATTTCTTTGTACTAAGTGTGTCATTTGTATTATTTCTTTGTACTAAGTGTCATTTATATTATTTCTTTGTACTAAGTGTCATTTATATTATTTCTTTGTACTAAGTGCCATTTATATTATTTCTTTGTACTAAGTGTCATTTATATTATTTCTTTGTACTAAGTGTGTCATTTGTAATATTTCTTTGTACTAAGTGTGTCATTTGTATTATTTCTTTGTACTAAGTGTGTCATTTATATTATTTCTTTGTACTAAGTGTGTCATTTATATTATTTCTTTGTACTAAGTGTGTCATTTGTATTATTTCTTTGTACTAAGTGTGTCATTTATATTATTTCTTTGTACTAAGTGTGTCATTTGTATTATTTCTTTGTACTAAGTGTGTCATGTATATTATTTCTTTGTACTAAGTGTGTCATTTGTATATTTCTTTGTACTAAGTGTGTCATTTATATTATTTCTTTGTATTAAGTGTGTCATTTATATTATTTTTTTGTACTAAGTGTCATTTATATAATTCCTTTGTACTAAGTGTGTCATTTGTATTATTTCTTTGTACCAAGTGTGTGATTTGCCATATTCCTTCGTACCAAGAGTGTAATTGAACAGACCATGAGAGCAGGAGAATGGTTACAGATGTACATACCATGCACATATTACACATGGCTCGTTGCATTCTTTTCAGGTTGTGGCATTTGCAGGTGACAATTACTTATATAATGAATATTAATGAGTTACTTAGAAATAAGAACTAAACCATAAACATCACATGTGATGATCAGATTGTGTATTTTAATCAAATAATTTGCATAATGACCAGATACTTATAAAAACAACCCATTGAAATGAATTTCCATACACGAATATTAAAATGAACGAAAACAAAAGTAATCACACAGGAGCGGTTGAAAGAATCTATTTCTTTTAATAAAAATTCTCACTTTCTGGGGTTTCCAAACATACTGAAAAAAATCATGTTACATGTCAACAGCCATGTATCGTATTTTTTTTTGGTGAACATAAATACAAATATTCTATAAATATAAGCATAAGTGGACGGATACATTTAAGGCAAGTTAAGGGACAAGATGCAAAATTTGATAATGAATATTAGAGGTAAATAATATGAATATAGTGTATAATTAATCAAACCATTGTTCTCGTGCAACAAAATTGTAGGATGTATACAGTTGTGGTCTGCAAGCAGTACGTACTGACAATTATAAATTAAATTTGATTTAGCTAGATATAAAAAGGTATTTACTTTTAGCTGATGTTATTCATGGCCTCCAGGGTAGGGTGGGTCAATAATACATTGGCCTAGTGGTTATGATTTTAATAAAATGTTATGTACAACAGATAATACTTGATATGGAGCAGCAAAAAAAAAAGTTTGAACGTTTGTCGAGAAAATTTAATGATTTAATTTCAAACTTTAATTTTTTTTCTTAAAAAGCTTGATTTCAAAATGCTGATCTTCCAGAGGGGAATATGGTGTTGAGATACACTTACTTTATCAAAATTGATCATCAGCAAATATTAAGCGTGGAAATACCCCAAAATACGATGTTGTAACCCTTGCTTGTCCTATTATTTAATTTGATTTCTTGCTTAACGTGGGATCTCGCAGTGAACAGAAAACATCTGTCTTGTATTGATTTTAAAAAAAAGTTTTAATCCATTATACCGATTCATTGACTTATTTTATTGAAATTTACTGGGTTGCTAAGCAGATGTTCTCCGTATGTGGACCTGAGCAACTGAGTGAATTTCAGATAGATTCAAGACCTACAGGCGTGACAATCACGTATTTACAGGCAACGACATGGTATTGTACATTGTTGAAATAATTTTTAATCGCAGTAGCAGTCACTGCATGGCTTTTGTTCTGATTTACCCTGCAAAGGCAGGCCCATTATGTAACAAGATTTGTTGATAAAAAAAACCATACTTAAAAATGATGTCTCTCAGGAGCGACGACTTGAATAATGAAAGAACTGGTCAAGTTGAAAACATGACATCTGTCCTGTTGTTTTGGGGGATGGAGAAGTTCAATTGGTGGGGTGCTGATGGATCAACAAATAAAATCAAGGACAAGGAACTTTTTAAATACACTTTAGTCCATTCCACTTTCAATTCAAAGGTGACTGAATTTTGCAAATTTGAAGAATCAGAGAAATGTTACTCTGGTAATAGTTGCTGATGAAAGACCAACAATTTACATAGTACTCAAAACTGTATTTGTACTTGACCCAAAATTACAAAATTTCTTTATAAAAGCTGATAAAAATCAGAATATGGGAGATAAATACAACTACATAAATAAATAATGAATATAAATGTTTGACTCAATTCCAAGTGAAATTCTGGGAATACATTTTTTGGTTCTTTAAAAACAAATCTTCAATATAAAAATTATAAAACTAAAGCTTTTATCAAGTGTTTCCCTTAACAAATTAGCATGCAAAGTGAGCTATCTTAAATAGATATAACGTAATTCATAGTGAATACGTAAATGTCAGTGTGTCTGCTTAACAGCAAATGTATGAATCAGTGTACAATTAATACAATTGATCATTTTATACATACTTCTATAGAAGATGCACTTCTAATACGGTTACACAAATTTGTTTTAAAAACTAATTAGACAACGGCAAACTGAAATGAGAAAGAAATTCATGTTGATCTTGCGACTATTCTCGCAATACACAA